AATTCAGTGGCGTACCGAGGGGGGGGGGGGGCGGGGGGGGGCGCGCGCCCCCCCCGAGAACGGGTCGCGAAATTTTTGAAAATTACTTTCATGCGTTATAAAAATGTGCAAATGACTTGTTTATTTTTGTAAACAATTAAAATAATTTTTAAAATTTTTTAAAAATTCAAATTAGCCTTATAAAAAAATTTTTTTCGGGGGCGTGGCTGACGCCACGCCCCCTTTTTCCAGATTTTGTGGGTTTGGGGCCCGCAAAATTGTTGAGAAGCCCCCCTAAAATTTTTTCGGAGTGCGTGGCTAACGCCACGCACCTTCATTTGAAAATTTTTTTGCCGCGCCCCCCCCCCCCCGAGCCGAAATCCTGGGTACGCCACTGTCATAATTGTAGGTCGTACTGTAGTGCTATACTATTTGATTGACTTTCAAAATCTTGAAAAGAGACAACTACTTATGACTGAACTTTTGTTTGAACTCAGTCATTGAATTTGAAAATTTGGTGGCCTTTTTTGAGTATAACAGGTGATGATAGTTTGCGAATAAGATAAGAGAAAGAAGTTTACTCTGACAACCCCGCTCGCTTATGGTTCACGAGTATTTATATGAATTACAAATTATGCAGAATCTCGCTATATGGGCGAAATATTAGGTTTGCATTGAATATAGCAGACGAAATGGTAATCAGAACTATAATCGTCTAACACCACTCGTCAGCCAAGGCCACAAAGATTATTTGCTACGGCGGGTCTTGAGCGGTTGGACACGAGCACACCTCAAACTTAGGTAATTAAACTTTAACAGAAAAACAAATAACAACAAACACGGATAGAACAAATAACAAATTATGTTACTAAATGGTGAACTACGAATAGGAATGATATGATTGAAAGAAGGCACAAATATAATATATGAGTGAAGTAACCTTAGAATATCGAGCGAGAGTCGTACATATGAATAATTCTGACTGTGCACAGTCAGCTATATATGCGTGATCACATCATCAAGCCACAGCTGCGCGCGACATCCTACTTTTAGCTAAAAACATGAGCAATTCACATCTGATGCTAACATCTGCGAACTCTTCCAGTAGCAAAAACGATGCAAGCTACTGAATTCATCGATGCTGTGCAACTGGCAAAGTCTCACTAGGCTACATGCATGAAAGGAGTTTGCATATTCTAAGGGAGAAAGGAACAATACGAACTGCGTTCGTGGTGTAATAAGTTCTGTCCCATTTCTTCCTTTCATTTTTCTTTTTTTTCTTAAAATTTTGAACGGTATTTCACAGAATGCATATATGCGTTTGGAAGCTCTAAGCCTGCTCTACCAAAATGTTCGCTTCAGTTTCCCAAATCAGCGATCTGAAAGAGTTGTCCAGCATTAAATTTGGGAAATCAAAAACGAGAAACCCTTCTCCACAATTACATTGAGTCGCCCTTCAAATAAGTCAAAATGCGTGCGAAACAGCAGGAAAGAACTGCTGTGAGTAAAGAATGAACACTAGGGCTTCTGCAGCGGTTCAAATGTGCCAAAAAGTTTCGAAAATTATTTTTGTTGAATCTAGAAATGTCTTATAGCTAATGTCTCCTATTGTCTCTTTCAAGGTTGACGGCATTTGAAGGAACGCACGGCAAATGGATAGTCCAGGAAAGACAGAAAGGATGGTTTATGGCTACAGAATCATCAAATTCATAGGTTATTTATTCAAAATTTTAGAGTTTGGGGGTCACATGGCTTAGGTACGTGAGATGAGGATGCCTCCACAAAGTCTTGCTTATTGGATTTTCAAAAGTGACTCTGAAAAGTCGGTAGGAGGAAGGAAAGAAGTACAAACAACGACAGTAGTAACATAAAAGTCCAATAGGTTTTTTGTTGTCAAGCTTGTCGAATAAATTCTACCAACGAAAAACGGGAATGTTTGGACAGAAAAAAAGAGGTCGAAAATGGAATTTCCGCCCCTCGAATTTGTTTTAATGCTAAAAAATCTTCAAACTTTTCTGCTTAGTTGGGGCTTGACGCATATGAATCTGCGGATCAGACCAATTTTTAGAGCTTTCAAATGCATATATATTGCATATATACATGCTGCAAAACACGGTGCAAAGTACTGAGAAAAATTTGAAGGACAAAATGGGACAGAAGTTATTACATAACCTAATAATAATATTTAGAACACAAGTCCTAAAAAAAATGCAAAAAAATTGATAATGCTTAGAGCAGCGTTTCAATCTCATTTTTTCCTCATTGTATATGATTTAAGCGGTGTTGTATCGCACACAAATCATAGTTCAAGCAATATCAAAATTCGTAAATGAAAATTTGAAAATTACAACTCCTCGTAGGTCTTATCAACACAAATTTATTTTGGTCAAAAAGCGTAGTTCACAGTAAATTAGGAAAACTCTGGGCCGTTGAGCATTTGGATTAAGAGTTGGAAAGACGCAATATAAGTGTTTGCCTTCAACAGGTTCTGTTGCCGCCATATGACAATGATGAATTTAGCTTTGAGAATAATTAGAAAGAGTAAGATTTTCTCCTTCTGAATTGAAAAATTTCGTGAAACTCATCGGATTTGGAGGAAATTATGGAATCTGGAAAACTTTTTGGACAAGACTTATGTTTCAACCAAATAGAATAATTCTTTAAAAAAATTAAATTAGCTTTCAGAAGGTTGTTAGGTATGGGATACAAGCTATGTGTGTTCTTTTTTTCATAATTTCAGAATCGCAAGCTTTAAAGGACTTAGAGGGGTCCAAAAATCTCTGAAATGCTGGCTATCATACGCAAATTCAAACCATGTCCCACCCTTCCTCCGGCATTTTTTCTTGAACTCCACATATTAGCACCTCTATTAAACACCCCATCATTTTTTATGAGGTGTCCGACTACGTCAAAATTTGCTGGATATCGATTATGAAGCACTATGTGGGAGTAGTATGTAGCTAACAAGCTGAATTCCCAATGGCTTTGCACTTTTCTTTGATTCTTGGCTGCACTCTACCTCGCTGAATTCAACCTATGAGGGGGCAAAAAAAGTGACCTCCACCCGCTACATGAACAATATATGTTTTGAAAACAAGTAGAGCAAAGTAGAGATCGAGATTCAGCAATATTATATAAAATGTGTTAATGTCTCAAGATACTGCAGCAGATCGGCCTTTTGCAAGTGCAAAAAATGTTAGGTGGGTCCCGAAGTTCATGCTATTTTTTAGAGCTATTCTGAAATCGTTCAGAATGATGATAGACAAATCTTTCAAAACTATTCGATGCAGAATTTCTTCCTCTTTCCAGCAGCTATGCTATCATTGTGACTGCTTCGACGAGCGCTGAGATAATTGCCGAAAAATAGAACCCTTCATTTTGACCATGTCTGACTTTTGCTAATTTTCAAAATTTTCATTTTAGACTTTCGAAGGTGCTCTAGTAATTACCTAAAAAGGCAAACCTTTTTCGAGTTAATGCAATTTTTTATATTTTATGAGCTTCCTCTTTAGAATTCTGCTGTATTATTTTACTAGAGCACTGAAATTTGGAGAACTCGCGTGAGATATAGTTGCACCAAACACTGCGAAATCCCCAAAATATTGAAGTTTTGAAACTCGGTTATCACTATCACCAGTTTTACGAAGTAAATGAGCAATTATGGCGTGAAAATGGATAGATTTTGGAGATTCGATTACACCTTGCGCACCCGAAAAATTGGGAAGTACAGCAATTTTGTCTACAAAAGTCGCATGTTTTGCGAAGAAAAACTAGCTTTCAGAGAGAGGAGAAAGAAATGCATCGAATGGTACCTAAACTGTCCAACGTCTGATATTTTGCGAGATTAGAATGAGCCAAACATAAAATTTGGTCACTTAAGAAAACATATTTCAGTAATTCTAGAAAGCATGCCAGAGAAATGCAAAAAATCCCATTAATTTGCAAAGGGTTTGCCTTATCAAGAGGTTATTAGGGCATTTCAAAAAGTCTAAAATGAAAATTCTGAAATTTAGCGAAAGTTAGACATGATAAAAATGAAAGATTCTAGTTATCGGCAATTTTCTAGTCACAATGATAGCATGGCTGCTGGAAAGGGAAAGAAATTCTGCATCAAATAGTATTTGAAAAATTTGTCTATCATCATTCCAAACGATTTCAGAATAGATTTAAAAACGGCAAGAACTTTCGGACCCCCCTAATATTTGCAGAGATTCGGTTCGGTAGCACTAAATTTGAATAATCAGATGAAAATTCGTACAAAGTAGGTTTTACTCACAATTCAAATCATATACGGGCTTAAAATCAATGTTATGTTATCTTTTCGACATATAAGCTTCTCGCATCAATCAGAAATTATGAAAGATTATTTTTGCTATAATTTGATGGTTTACAACTTTTGACTTAAATTTGTTCTACCGTCGCTTATCTCTGCCAAAAAACCCAAAAAAGCCAGCGAGGTTTGTAAAAAGTTACCAAAAACGTCGAATTGCAAACCCTGACCCTGACTTAACCCTGACGTCATCTACCGTATGCTAGTGCGAGATATTTTCTCAGCGAGTTTTTGTCCAAACCATGACTTAAGAATGACGCTATCCATTTGCAAACTATTTCTAGCTTTTTAGTGCTAATGTGCATCAAATGACATTTTATTTCTCATGCGTTTAGTTTCCTGTCATGAGTCATGTAATTTTATCAAATTCAGCAACTTCTGAATGTGTGATGACGCGGGCGGGTTCCGCCCCCGTCCTCCCCTCAGGCATGAGCCGGACGCCTACGTAAGCGTCACAAGAAGCTAAATTTAGATTAGTAACTCAGGACTCAATTGTAATAAGTTACCCCACACTGGTGGAGCAGGTGTTCCCATATACGCATGATACGCCTGTCGCAACCCCTTCTCCCCCCCCCCCCACGCCACGAAAGGACGTTGACGACGTCATCGACGGTGGCGGAAGGGGCGACGTTGCCACCCCTTCCGTCACCGGCGTCGTCGACGACGTCGCCTCAGCTTCGCCCGCCGCTGAAGCACCCTCTCTCACAAAACCCGCGAGGGGCGGAGCAGGAGCACCGAGCGAGCCGGCCGGGGGCTCGTATTGATTCTGACGACTCACTTGCTCGTGTGCTTATATGGCGAGAGGTGGTTAAGGGCACATGCAGCCCACCTATCTAGTCATCACAGTATTCGCCTTATGCTGCACCCTTAACACTGTTAACTCGCTGTTACTATACGGTATGTTTATTGATACAGTATGGTTTATTGATATTTCAACTGCAAAAATACTGTATCATACCCAAAAGTATAATTTTTGCCCTTTCATTGGCTATTCGTGTTCAGTAGGTAACGCTTAGAATTATTCGATGACAAAAATCAATAATGTATTGATCAGCCAATCACAGCTTGATCAATACGGTAGCCTACCGTAATTGCGCGATCATATTCGCCTGCGCGCAGGCGTTACGGTATGACGTCATTTACCGCGGGGATTGGCAGAACAGTGCATTGCAATTGGAAATTTGACGTTTTCACTACTTTTTCAAATTAATGTCATTCTATATTCACAAACTATTGTCTGTAGATACTGTAGGTGTACGGTAGCGAAGCTGAGAATTGATAACCATGCTCATTCAAAGATTTGCGCTGAGATACTGCATTCCAAATTATCGTGTTTTTAACAATAATTATTTGTGTGTAAATTTTATAAACAATTTTTTCTTTGCTTTCTACGTCTCTTCACCGCGCTTGTGAATCATACTGTAGGCGTACGGTAACAAAGCCAAAAATTGTGAAAATCCACAAAAGTCCCTGCTCTCGATTTTTTTTCAAATTCTCACCTTAATCCTCGTCATTTTGATAGTTATTCTAGCGTAAACATTGGTCAAGAGGGTGATTAATGCTTGGCTAATGTCGCGTACTTTCCACGGAAACGTACATAAAAGTGCACAATTACTTCCTATGTTTAATTAACATGAAAATAGCCTTATACGACAGTAATTATCCTTTCTATTGTATAGATTCGCATCATTTCCTCATCGTTTTGCTTTTTTGTTTCTGTATGATAAATCTTGTCCGCTCTAATCTGTCCCTCTGGGGATAATAACTCGCCCAATCTCCGTCGGCGCTTCGTAATCGCTTATTTTCTTTGTTTACTGAGAGCTAAATGCTACATATTCTATCTAATAGAAGGGTTCCGCAGCGAAAACAGCTCTCTAAGCTTTCAAATATCCCATTTTCTCTAATTTCTCTCTCATTCTCTCCCTCAAGGGAAAATGTTTTCTCTCTTGGACTCCATCATTAACCAGCTCTTAATGCCAAATGCACATTTAGCGTCAAGAAAAAACACTGCCGAAGGGTGTTAATGATTGTTTGTCACGGAAATGGCGCTGATGTGCAGCAAGGCAAGCAAAGTCCGTAATTGCACATCACCAGAATATTGACGTTTGTTTTGCAAAGAATTGGTGGGGAGAGCATTTGAAAATTTGTGTAGTTTGTGCTTTTCAGAATTAGCGATGCAGGGCGCTTGCGAATTTTACTTTGAGAACAAATTCTGTAAAAAAATCCCTCAGAAAGGGGGACTCTTGGAAACTCACATTAAGAATACTTCCTAACTCTTTTTGAATTCTCCTATATTTGCCTTCTTTTTGAATGCATGTTATAATTCAACATTTCTCTGATCGCGAAAGTAGGGGATTTACCAGTACAGCTAGACATTCGTCTTAGTTTTATGACACATCTTATGAAAAAATTCCCATAAAAGGACTTTCTTGAGAAACAGCTTCAAGAAATATTGCTCATTTTATTGCTCCAGTTCTTACAACATTTCCTGAGATAAAACTATGGAAGTTAGTTTTTGAACATGACATTTTTTATTTTTTCCTTCTTCTTTTTACTTTCTTTCTTTACAAACATCACCTTCCCAACTACATATGAGAAGACTTGACCAAAAATCATTTTTACTCATTTTTATGCATTTTGAAAGTCTGACGCAAGTGCTTTCAGCGAAATTCGCTTAATCCATGCGATAAGCCTTAGATTACAGTATCGCGTGCGTTCCAGCTCAGCTATATGTTCTCTTTTTGGTTAACTGCGATATAACATGTGCTCCTTAGGGCTCCCTAGGGCTCAAATAAGTTTTTGTTGAGTTATGAGAATGTAATAACAAAATTAATGAATTTTTATGATAATTACTATTCTCTTTTATGTCTTCCTTATTGCACAAAACGAATTCAAATTTGAGCAACTTTTTTCTCCCTTAACGAAAATTGCCAATAAAGAACTCGTGTTTTCGCCTAGTGTCACATTCTATGGATGTTTTCCTCCTCCTCCCCCCCCCCCCCCTCCCCTCCTGACCTTTTAGTGCTGTGTGATGTAAAAGATACTTCCTCCTCATTATAGCAGTCTTAATTGGGCACACGTCTACGCATTCGCGATTGATGCGTTTAAGTATGTGATATCTGTACAAGGCAGACGCTCATAGGCTCATAGGCAGCGACTCATAGGCATCGGCGAGAGCGACGAAGGACTTCCATACTTGTACACTCGGAACAATTTACGATTTATATGGGGCTGATAAACATTAAACAGTAAATAGTAAACATTAGGGTCAATGGAATCCACCGTCTAACTAGGGGGCGGGATTAGTACGAAAAGGAGTGTGGCGCAACCGGTGCAAGATAACTTCTCATTGACTGAGTTTGTTCCATTGGAGCCGAGGGAAGATAATAAATTTTTGCACAATACGGATTGCAGCGTCTTTGAGTAGCCCCTCAATTTTTACTCTCTACCATCATCCTCCTTACCTATCTAGCACGAATGCTTCCAAAAATGCAGTTTGCAGTCAATTTTTCTGTTGCTCAATTTGGCTTTAAAAATTTCAGGCGCCAGCAAGAGCTAGCAAAATTTGCTCAATTACGACTATGAGAAAAGGGAAAATTATTTATTAGCTTCAGTGCAGAAACTTGAGTTTCCATGTTGTAATTAGTATTCAAAGCTCAAATTTCTGCACTAGCTAATGAATAATTCTTTTTTTCTCATAGACGTAATCAAGCAAATTTTGCTAGCTCTTGCTAACGCCGGGAATTTTTACAACAAAATCAACAACAGAAGAATTAACTAACAAACAGCAAATGTTAGCTGTCCTTAACTTTATTTTGCTTACCAAGAATGAAAAAAGACTTCCTTCCTTCCACAATTTAAGTTCCATATATTAGCAGATGTGACAACATTCAATGACGTCATTATTTTATATTAAAATAGCTAGACATATCCCATAGCAACCTAATTGAATTTCCTTTATGTGACATCATATGAGACTCTAATTAACTTCTGCAGAGCCCTTAACCTTTTTTTGCAAGTCCCCCCCCCCTGTACCTCTGTAGATTTTGCTAATTAGACTTTCTTCAACTGTTTGCATTCCTTTGCTTTCAATGTGACGTCACTAACGACATCACAGTTCATTGGAGTTAACTCTCGTTTGTGTGATTGCGGAATATCCTAAACGACTCTGACGTCATTTGCGTCTATTCATAGTGACACTGCGGGAAAAGGGCAGAATGTCCGGGAAAGGGGGGAGGGGACTGGGATCGGTGAAGCAGAATTCCTGCACTTTATGAATGCGAAGAAATAGTGCCAAATTTTTGATTTAGAATTTGTTGAAATCCAAAAATAATTTGGATAGGGGGGGGGGGTAATTCAAAGTCTCGACGATTGATATAAAATGATATCAGCAAATGCACAAAAAATTTGATGAGAGATAAGAAGAATGAATAAATTGGGTATGAATGAATGAATGAATGAATGAATGAATGAATGAACCAATGAATGAATGGATGAGTGACGTTTGCAAACTGAACTTCCACCATTTTTCTTCCCGGGACCATCCCTTCCACATAAAAACTTCCACCAATTGCCCCTAGAGACAAATTGCTGGAAGTGATGTGCACATTTTTTGCCGCGCTTCCCCTCTCCCTTCATCGTTAATGGATGCGATTTGATTACAGCTGTAAGAAGAGTCGTCGAAGGCAAAAGAAGTATCAATGAGGAAGGTGGGGGGGGGAGGAAATTACAATTTCCTTCATTTTCCTTCCAGATGTAGTAGCACAGTGGTCGATTGATTTTAGAAAAAATAAAATCAAAGGAAAAAAGTAAATACCGACCACTCCAAGAAGATTTCATGCTTTTTCAAGGATCTGGGGGGAGAATAACATCATTTTTATGGGGTTATTCTTCATTTTCCGCCATATCATATTTGAGAACGTCAAAGCTTAACCGAGATGATTACCTTTTTATCCCTCAATGAATCGCCCATACTTGCAATTCAATTGCAACTTCTCACATTTCTTATTTCACCTTTTGAATCCATAGAAAAGTGACCATGTTCCTTTCTCCCCTCCTTAGCTTTCTGCTAAGTTTTCTGAATCTAATTGAGACCTCGAGATTTACTAGGATAATCCATTCATCGCGTGGGGCTTTGAATAAGTGCCTTTAAATGTACTTTCTGAAAGGGTGAAGGAGCTTCAGTGTAACTCCCTGGATGTGGGCGATTTGGGTGGGTGGTGGGGCAAAGTCCTTGCTGAGCCGCTTATGGGCCCATCTTCATCTGAACATAAATATGACATCAAATTAGGCTAAAATTGTACAAGTAAGAGGAGCTGAGGTTTGGGGCTGAAGTCGATATTGTATTTGTGTATGATAATTTTGAGCTCAAAAATTTTTTCAATTCAAAAGTTGTAAAAAAGGTTCGAATTATTGTTTTATTTGAAGCTAGCAGTAGTGCTGATGTTATCAATAATTGGGTAGTAATAAGTAGTAACAATAATACCAATGATTCAGGAAGCACTCCAAAGTTTTTTTGGAAGTTTGCTCAATGCGACGCCCCTTTCTCGAAAGATTTCATACCCCCCAGAAAACTGAAATTGCCATCGGAGTAATTGAGATTGTGCAGTTTTTGAAGACTTTCATGTATGTTTTTTTTCGGATGCATTGCGCGAATTTTTTTTTTGAGATTTTTGCTTACGCCATGCCCTCTTTTAGAAAAAATTTTGTGCCCCCAAAAAAATTCCTAAGCCGCCGCGATAATAGTGGGGGGAAGGGGGTGGAAGAGGGAGGCGGATATAAGAGTAAGCTGGACGTACAACGTTTCGGAACTATATCGTATGTTTGAAGGGTTGCAACTGTCGAGCTTTCCCCCTTGTTTTTCTTTTCCCCGTTCCTTCGCGGAATGTATCTCCCCC